TTTCTTGCTCTGTTTAGATTATATTATTGTAACATGTAAAATGGACATGAAAAGAAACATAACCAGCCTGGGCAACATAGGGAGACCCCGTCTTTACAAAAAACAAAAGCAGGCCGGGTGCGGTGGCTCACGCCTGTAATCTCAACACTTTAGAAGGCCGAGGCGGGTGGGTTACTTTAGGTCAGGAGTTCGAGAACAGTCTGGCCAACATGATGAAACCCCATCTCTACTAATAATACCAAAACAAAAAAAAAAAGAAAAATGTTCTGTTAGGTATCCTCAGATGACATGTCAAAGGGATTTCTAACTGTGAATTTACTTTTTGCTGTTATTAAATTGAATTTGTTTTTTTCCTACTTTCCTTTAAGAACAAGTGGAGGCCACGTGTGGTGGCTCACGCCTGTAATCCCAGCACTTTGGGGGACTGAGGCAGGCGGATCACTTGAGGTCAGGAGTTCGAGAACTGACCAACAGGGCGAAGCCCCATCTGTACTAAAAATGCAAAATTAGCCGAGCGTGTTGGTGTTTGCCTATAGTCCCAGCTACTCTGGAGGCTGAGGCAGGAGAATGGCTTGAACCCGGGTGGTGGAGGTTGCAGTGAGCCGAGATTGCGCTACTGCACTTCAGCCTGGGCGACAGAGCAAGACAACGTCTCAAAAAAAAAAAAAAAAAAACAGACCAAGTGGAGAAAGACATTTGGGCAAACGATTGCAACATGCTGACTCATCTAGAGTGTCAAGAAGACCGAAGCAATTCAAAAAAGTATATTATATCAAGGGCACCATGGAAAACAATTAAAAAGATGGGCTCCAGATGCACATGACTCCAGAGAAGCAATTTGACTAATATTTCTACCCCCATGCACCCGTTCCTCTCCAGCTAAGTTAACTGGCTGTGGTAGACTTGATTTCAGCCTGAAAGATTTTTCTGTGTATGCTAACATTTTAGCAGTTGCTTTCCCTCTGTTTTGACTGTGACCAGGAGATTAAAGAACCAGGTTCTTCAAACTGATTTAAGAATTTATTAGTTTTTCAGGAGATGGTGAGAAATTTGCTCAAGATTCACCTTTTTGTTTAAGTTAAAGTTTTCCAAAGGGAAACTTTCCAACTTTCATTTTAGTTTCATTTAATGTAGAAAAAAAAGTTTTTATTTTCATGCAGTATTCTGACTTTAACAGTAGTTTGTGGTTTGTATTTTTTTTTTTCCCACAGGTAGAACATTCCGTGATATTTTTTACAGCATTCATTATGTAGACTGGTCTTGGAGGTTTTATATGAAATATTATTGAATGACTCTGCATGTGAACAATGAATGATAGTTTCATAAACATCCTTTAGGAGGCAGACATAGCTTTGGTTTAGCACTATAAAAACATATCACTATACAATAGCCTGTAGAAGGTGCTAAGCAAATACAAAGAAGTAAAACAAATAGATAAAATGCAATATGTAATAAAATCATGAATAAAACGATAATAATAATACATAAAGTAAAAGGGTTTATATGTGGGACTGGGTGGCATTCATGTCTGTATGAGAGAGACGGAAATGGACAAGAGTGGGTGAGGGAGTAAGTAGCTAGGCTACAAATCCATCTATGTATGTATGTTGTGTTGAATGGAGCTTCAGAAGCTAGAATATTTAATAGGACAGGTGGCTGACACAGGCTGCTAAATTTAGATACTCCCATTTATTGAAGTACAACAGGTACCTCCGCTGCTTGTTTTAATATTTTCTCTGTGGACTTGCTTCTATAGCATAAAGACGGCCTCACTTGGGCTTCCTTATATGGAAATAAATTATTTGTAAAAATTAGTAATCTCCAACTGTGAAGAGCATTTCATGTTTCTAAAAATTTTAACACTTTTTCAGTTATTTTATTTTTTATTTTTTGGTAGAGATGGGGTCTTGCTGTTTCCCAGGCTGCTCTCAAACTCTTGGCCTCAAGCAATCCTCCCACCTCAGCCTCCCACAGTGTTGGGATTACAGTCATGAGCCACCACACCCGGCCTGGAACAATTTTTGGATGAAAAAGAAATATTCCCCATGACCATCCTACATGAGATAGTGAAGGCATCTGTTTTGTTTTACAAACTGAAACAGGGTAGCAAGAGTCAAATACGTTTTGAGGCAGAAAGAATTTTGTCAGAAGAGACATTTTGCTGGAAAATAGGTGGACTAAGAGTCTGTTGATGTGTGTAGGAAACATCATTATTAATCCTTTGTGTGTGTAGGCACACAAGTTAAAATAAAAAGGGGTAAAATTAAGTGTCATAAGGAAAATATAATAAGCAGGCATCACAATTATTAGGTACTCCTTATTGTACAGTGTATAAACGGCTCTGTAACACCATAATAACAGTACACCTAGGAGCCCACAGCTGATAGGTCCCAGAGTAAATAATTTAGCTATTGGTGTACGTTGAATAGTATTTTGTTTGGTCACCGTTTTGGGAAATCTTCGTCATTCATTTTAGATAGTGAAGCTTTCTTTTTCAGGCTAGAAAAAGTTAAAGTAGGCTGGGTGCTGCGACTCATGCCTGTAATCCCAGCATTTTGGGAGGCTAAGGCAGGAGGATTGCTTGAGCTCAAGAGTTCGAGACCAACCTGGGCAACATAGTAAGACCCTGTCTCTATAAAACTTTTTAAAATAAAATTAAAAATTAAAAAAATAGGGGTAGGAAGAGAGAGAGCATCAGGAAGAATAGCTAATGGATGCTGGGCTTAATATCTAGGTGATGGGATGATCTGTGCAGCAAACTACCATGGCACATGTTTACCTATGTAACAAACCTTCACATCCTGCACATGTACCCTGAATTTAAAAGCTGAAGAAAAAAAATTACATAAAAATTTTAAAATGAAGAAAAAGTTAACATAGAGGAATGTTAATCTATGACATCAGAAAATTTCAAATAAATTTAAAATTCTTGATAATTTATGCATGTTTCTTCTATTTGAGATAATATGCACTTAGCAAATATAAAGATGGCATTTTATAGTCATTTTCATACAGCAACTGTGTGCCAGATGATTCTGTATAACAGAGGTGGATGATGAAAGCAACCAACCACAATTTAACAGAAATCTAAGAAATTTAAACTTAAAGGAATCTAAACATAATTTACAGAATAATGTGTTCTAATGAAGGCTTTGTGTTTAAATAATTTTAATGGTTCTTTATTTATATCTTCATTCTTATGAAAAAGTTTTTCAAACTTATTACAGCGGCTTTAGAATATTTGAAAACTGCAAAAAAGAAAATTTAGGCTGGGCACGGTGGCTTATGCCTGTAATCCCAGCACTTTGGGAAGCCTAGGTGGACAGATCACTTGAGGTCAGCAGTTCGAAACCAGCCTGGCCAACGTGGTGCAACCCTGTCTCCACTAAATATACAAAAATTAGTTGGGTGTGGTGGTGGGCGCCTGTAATCCCAGCTACTCGGGAGGCTGAGGCAGGAGAATGGCGTGAACCCAGGAAGTGGAGGTTGCAGTGAGCCGAAATCACACCACTGCACTCCAGCCTTGATGACAAGCAAGAATTCATCTCAAAAAAAAAAGAAAAAGAAAAAGAAAATTAAAACTGAGAAAACCAGTATGAATATTTTGGCAATTCCTTCTAGTGTTTTCTCTTAATTTCCTTTTGTTTCTCTCTCTCTCCTTCAAAGCACACATACACTTAAATGTACACAGTTGAATTGATACTGTTTATAGTCTTATATCCTGCTTTTTCCACTTAACATACCATGAGCATTTTTCCATGTCATTATATATGCTTTGAATATGTTCTTGGCCACATAAAATTCCATCCTATTGATGCACCTGTTTTCTTTTAAGCAGAGACACATGCCATGCTTTCCAGTCATGCTGGACTCTCAAAAGCCAAAGAAAATACCTTGTGTTGATCTACCATAAGCCTCTTATAAATGTCCATTTTTTATTTCATTTAGTAAATGTACCAATGGTACAAACGCACCTCTGGACGCTAGATATAATCAACAGTTAAACACTGTAAAGAAAATGCCAGTGAGCAGTGAGCTCTGTCCCCTTGATGATGTTAAGTATTAGTCACCCACATCACTATTACAAGTATATAAGTTGTCAACAAGTGTCACAAATGCTTTTTCCATTTTGTGATAGCCCCAAATGAATTTCAATCTCTCAGCCACCCACCTCAAGAACTTGAGATTCTAACAGGGCAGTTTTGAGTTTTAATATTAAAACTTCTAATATAAATGCTACAAACTTACAAAAACACCAACTTTACTTTACACTTAGTTTTGTGAATTTGAATAATTTTAAAATTATTTTATTTCAGTTTGTTTGCCCACCTTCAATCAGGGGAACTGACTTAATTTTAAAACAATCTGCCAGAAACTTCAGTTCTGACCTCTTTAGGGCTATAACTAGTAGAAATAATGTATTTGTAACACACATCACGCATAAATGAACCCTTTAATCCTCAGGAGGGCACTGTGGAACCACGTTCTTAGGGTTGTCTGCTGTGGGAAGGTTCTTTTGTTACTCAAATGTAAGGGGTGCTGGGACAGGCCTGCACAGAAAACTTGTATATTTTTATTTACTTTAAAAGACAAACCATAAGGATTTTTTTTCAGTGTGAAACTGAAATGTATATATTTCATAAATATTTTCATACTAAACTGAGCAATTTTAAGAATGATTAAGCTGTTTCTACTGGGAAAATCAGAGGTAAGGAAACTGCTTTCATGTAGCTTTATGTACATTTGGAAAGAGAAAACCTGAACTGGGTTTTTAATCTTATAATTTTTAAACTTAGAATATTCAAGAGTTCTCAGCCCTATATTGATAGTATTTACTGCAAAACTAAATAGTTTTGTTAAAAAAAGGTATTTTAATTTGTTGACATAAAGTTGGCTTTTTTGTGCGTGCTTCTTTCTTACATGCCCTATTACCCCAGTCTGTTTAAACCAACTACTGTTCATATTTTTCCAGGAGAAAAACAAAACAATAAAAAACATTATTCAGATAAAATATTATAGGTTTATTTAAAACTTAATTCTCACCTTGAGTATGCAAAATACAAACTCCACAAAATGTTCATTTTACTTTGTAGTTTACAAATATACAAAATAGACGTTTGCTTAAATTTATATTACATATTTATTAAGGCAAGGAACTATATAGAAAAACACATTTGTTCTGCTTAAGGCATACTTGGGAATAAACCATTGTACAAATTATTGCACATCTGAAACCACAGTGCATAACAGACTGTCTGCATAAAAATGCTAAAGAAGTAAACCAGGTGTATTACCTGACTTAGGTCATAAATGTAGATCGGAAGACAAATATAGATTTTCCTTGTCAAAGTATGCAGCAGTTTGAAAACTTTGGCTTCCTTGTTTGGTACCTTTAGAACCAAGACTCACCAAGCACCATCATTTAGGCTATTTAAACATGTTTTCTGTACCTGAATTTCTTCCTCTTCTTCTAACATCATAATAATGGCTTTTAGAAGGTAAAGAGAATACAAGGTGATCTTTTATGCTTATATTGCATCAATACACAATTCAAGGGAATTCTGGTCTTCCCTCCCCCAACTCACGGATATAATTTATACCCTGATATCCACAACTTCCAGTCACCCCCTTGGCATTTTGTAAGTCCAGGAATATTCAAGTCGGATTTAGAATTGGAATGATAGAAGATCCAGTCACAGACCCCATCTGTTCTTTGATTTTTGTCTTTTGGATTCCTCATTTTTCCTGATTATCCACTCACAAGATGACTCAGTTGGGAACTTGACCATGATTGTAGTGCTTTCTGGCTGGGCTCCTTCCCTCATCGGGAAGACAGTGTGAAAGGTAAAAAATACTGAATTCTCTTCTGGCAGTGTGGGTCATATCCACTGTCTGGGATTTAAAAATGCCTCTTCATGTGTAAGGCGAGGTGGTCCGATCTGGAAAATGCTCGGTCGCATTTTTGGCACTGGAACGGGCGGTGCCCAGTGTGTTTCCGGTAGTGCCTGGTCAGTTCATCTGAGCGGGCGAATTTCCATCCACAGCCGTCCCAGTCACAGTGGTAAGGTTTCTCACCTGTAAAGGCAAAAGAAAAAAAAAATTAACGCCATTGCTATATCAAAGAATGGGCCCTTTTAAAAACTGAAGGCCAGATACTAAACCAACTGTGACCCTATCCTAAAGGAATCCAGGAAAAGTCTTTATACCACTGACGGGCTGTATTGAATTCCATGTCATAAACAGGAATACATTCCGTGTCTTAAGTATTTGGTCTTGTTTTTAGGGGGTCAGTTAAGCACACAACCACCACCTACACCTATACTAATGTTTCACCAAAAACACACAAACACGCCACCTAAACCTATACTAATGTTTCTTTTGAGTCAAGACATCTCAGTGGTGAAAATGAAATTTGGAAATTGTGATTGGTGGTGTGTGCAAACCAGGCAATCTTATTCCTACTACGATTGGGGATAGAAAGCCACAGGTGGCAATTTTCTTTTCTTTACCTTTACCTTACTGAATGCTAAGCGCCTAAGTGACTTTGAGTACCTACTTACATTGACATGGAAATGCTCTGCAGTGACAATCCTAAATCAGAATCTCCCCAGCAATTTTGACTATCATATTCTTGGAATTTAAAATAAAACCTTCTGCTTGTGGGGGAAAAAAATTAAAAATGCAAATCAAAACAAATAACAAAAAATAAATAAGACCGAATTGTTAAGACCAAAATTCAAAATAATAGAAAGGGAGGGTGAACCTGGGAAGGTAACATTAAAAACCTAGTTTAAAAAAAAGCCATCATGCTCTTGCATAGCAAAGTATAATTTCTTGATTACAATGCCCAAGCTAGGAGAGGCCCACAGACCGCGGGGAATCTCTGCCTTTTAAAGGCCAAACAAAATTGCACATTCAAGCACAGATACCATCCATCAAGCAAAAGGCTCCTGGGAAGAAAAGTAGGCGCCGGTTTGCTGTCCTCCCCAGTGATCCCAGAGATCAAGGTGATAGACTGCCCTGGGAAGCCAAGGAAGCACTGAGGAGTGTCCACTGGTAGCCCCATAGGGCTGGAAGCTAACCCCTTCCTTCTGCAGTTTGTCCCCCTACCTGTGTGGGTTCGCAGGTGTGCCTTGAGATGGGAACTCTTTGTGTAGGTTTTGCCGCAGCCCGCGTAATCACAAGTGTGGGTGGCGGTCCTTTTCCGGGGCCACGATCGTCTTCCCCTCTTTGGCTTGGGCTCCTCCGGCATGCAGGAACCGGGTGGCATGAGCTCTAGGGGTGGAGAAGGTGGGGTGAGCATCATCCCCTGTGCCCCAAGGGGCCAGCACACACAGGGCTCCCCAGCCCGAGCTATAAATCCCCGGGACTGACCTTGGTAATGGAGCGGCGGGACTTGAGGCTGCATCTGGTCGGGCAGGAAGGATGGGTAATTGGGCCCCGGGTGGGGATGGAAGCCGGGGGGAAGCGGCAGGGCCGGGTGACAGTCCCTGCTGCTTAGCACTTCCTCAAGACCCAGGGTCGGGGTAGTCCTGCTGGGGAGCTGCCGCCCCAGGGGGAAGTCGTGTGCAGCCGGCCGGTGGCCATTGCTGAGAGGGGGTCCAGCGCCCAAGTGGGTGCACGAGGAGACCGCCTCCTGCTTAATCTTGGGGCACGTTCGCGGCGGCCCACCGTTGTAGGGCGCCACCACCACCGGGTGGCTGCCGTCAGGGCTGCCTTTGCTGACGCTGATGACCGACGGGCTGCCGTACTCGCTGCCAGGGGCGCTCAGCGACGCCTTCAGCACGAACTTGCCCATCAGCCCGCCACCTGGCGGCGGCGGCTGCTGCGGCGGAATGTACACCGGGTCCAATTCTGGCCGCAGGAGCTCGGCCACGAAGCCGCCCGAGGGGCTCACGTCGTTGATGTCCGCCAGGTTGAAGGGAGCCGTCGGAGGGGGAGCGGACTCCCTCCCATAGAGGAGGCCTCC